CCTCTCCCAATATCCTTATTACCTCAAAGCCAGGTAACTGGAGACTCCCCAAAAGCCTAAGAAGCCAGCTCCCTGGTGGTCCCCAGAGCCCAGCTCCTAAAACTCTACCTTAACCCTCTTTTCTTCCTAAGAGAGAGAAGACAGGGCCTTACCTCCCTCCACCAAGGGCCTTAAATACATGACCTGGCACACAGTAGGGGCATAATGCATGGCCATTGAGTGTCTGGAGGAAATCAGGTTGGAAATCTCTACTTTCCAAGTATCAGAGCAGCTAAAACCATAAGACTCTTGAGTAAGACCACAAGCGGGTTTAAACTCTGGCTTTGCCACTTAGTAACTGTGTGACTTGAGCAAATGGCTTGCCCTCTCTGCCTCGGTTTTCTCATTTGTCTGATGAGATGATGCTAATAATAAACCTAGTTCACAGGGTTGTTGTAAGGGTTAAATTCAAGATTAAAGTTCGAAAGTTAACTCAAGAGGCTTGTGAAGCTCTTAGAACAGTGCCTGGCACATGGTAAGTGCTATGTATTAACCTATTTTTTAAAAATGATTCACGCTCTGTTTCTAGGCTCATGGACTCAGGATGGGGCTGGGGATATCTGCCCCTTCCTATTCTTTCGTGCCCCAGACAGATCCTCAGCCTAACCTGCAGGATCCCTTGGACACAGAAAAGTGACATCTCTTCGTGGCACCAGCCCCCTCCAAGCCCCTGGCCTGGAGCTCAGCCACTGAAGCCTCTTCTACCCCGCTCAGCCTCCCAAACTTCAAACTCCCTGGCTGAGGTCTTCAGGAAACTCAGCTGACCAAGAGGAGGACCCAGGCTTCCCTGATTGGCTGCTGTTCTGAGGCCAAGGCTGGGGAGTGGGCCCTGAAGAAGCCCTGCCCGGCCTGCAGGGAGGAAGGTCCAAGGGAGGAAGGTTCAAGGGCATCAGCACCAAGGGCCTGCAAACCACTAGACCTCTGACTCTTACCCATAAATGTCCACGACGGTCTCCACGCCAGCCACACACACCACGCTGGTGGGATGCTCCAGGGACACACGCACGATTCTCTGCAGTGACATGCTGGTCTTGGACTTGGCTGTGGCCGCCAACCCCAACACTGCCCCTGAGGCCCCTTAGGATGAGGTTTAAAAGCCCCTGGCCCCACCCCTCCAGCCCAGGTGCCGATTCATTGGCTCCAGTCATGAAAGCCCAGCCCCTTTCCAAAACTGAGAGCTCAGGATAGGCTGGAAGGGACCCAGTATTTGTATATGAACCTGTTGTCCCGACCCCGGCACCCAGGAAGTTAATTTCTTGGGAAGCAAGTCCCCACAGGTACCTGGCTAGGCACCAGGAACTGTTGGGGGCAGGTGCTGTTGAGTGGGTGCAGAGATATATGATACCGGTCTCGGACGCTTCTTTCCCCCTCACCTCCATTTTCTGCATTTTCAGAGACAATATAATTTAATGGGGAGCTTTCTTATTCTGCTGGGGAACTGGTGAAAATGCGGATTCCCAGGTCTGTTGTCCACTCTGATCCAGCAGGTTAGGGGTGCAGCCTGGCCTCTGGATTTTTTTTTTTTTTTTTTTTTTTTTGAGACGGAGTTTCACTTTTGTTGCCCAGGCTGGAGTGCAATGGTGCGATCTCAGCTCACCGCAACCTTCGCCTCCTGGCTTCAAGTGATTCTCCTGCCTCAGTTTCCTGAGCAGCTGGGATTACAGGCGTGTGCCACCACTCCCGGCTAATTTTGTATTTTTAGTAGAAATGGGGTTTTTCCATGTTGGTCAGGCTGGTTTCGAACTCCAGACCTCAGGTGGTCCGCCTGCCTGGGCCTCCCAAAGTGCTGGGATTACAGGCATGAGCCACCGCGCCCGGCCCTCTGGAGTTTTTAATAAGCTCCCCAGTGCATTTTGGTGTCCTTTGAGAAACACCAGCTTTTTTTTTTTTTTTTTTTGCATGGATTTTAGAGCCAGGCCTGGGTTTCAGCCCTGCCTCAGCCACTTCCTGGATGGGCAACCTTGGGCAAGTATCTTAATAGTTCGCGCCTCACTTCTCTCATCTAAAAAATGGTTGCTGTGAGGCCTCATGGACAGCGTTAGTAGAGCTCTGGAATGGAGCCTGGCGTTATTGTATTACCGTTGTTGTCATTAGATCTCAGAAACCTCTGAAAGGGGTAAATGATGAGGGCGAGAACTCTCTCCAGCCAGGGGAGCTTGGCATGTCAGAGTAGGAAGGCTCAGTCGTCGGGCGGGAAAACCGAAGTCAGAGGGGGCATTCGGGCTCCTGGAGGAGCAGGAGCAAGGGCTCTGGGGAGAGAAGTCTTGGGTTCAGATGCGGGCTCCACTGTGTACCCACAATAGGGCCTTGGGTGCCAGTGTCCCCCCCTCTTGGAGACTCGGTTTCCTCATCTGTAGAAAATGCAGCTAATCACTGGCGCTGGCGGAGATAATAGTGAAGACGCACCCTGCCTGGGGGAGGCTCAGGAGGTACTGAATAGAAGTTTCCTCCCTTTTCCCTGGCAGTGCTGACAGCCTAAGGCAGGATGGGGACCAGGACCCGCTCCCCAGCACCTCCAGCTGGGACATCTGCACCAGTTCAAGGACCTCAGCAGGACCCTAAGATTGTCATTTGCATGTCTCAGTTTCTGGGAAGGATGTTCTTTTCAGGGAGAACTGCTGGGCTGCTGGGCCAAGAGACAGCTTCACTGTTTTCAGCTGTGGAACGGCTTGATGGCTGTGTCAGCCCTGGGTAAGAGTTCGAGCTCAGGAGGAAGCCTTAGTCTCCCTAGCCTGCTTGTGAGCACAGATGGGGAATACACGCAGAAAGTGGGGGCTTTCCCTGGAGTGCTGGCCCACCACCTGCCTCCTTCTCAGAGAACTGTATGTGCCTTTGGAAGGAGACTCATGCCTTCACTTCTCCCCCATTAATACCAACTTTTAGAAACAGGTTTGTGGTTAACTCAGACTAAAGTGTCAATGACTAACAGGCAACAACTTTTTGCCCTCTTAGTCCACAACAAAAGCTAAAATAAAGTGAGTATCAAAGGGTATAATTTGAGGCAGCAGCAAATGTGTAGGATGAGAGGGTGACATTTTCAGGCATCCAAACTCAGACCACTGAAGCCGGGTAACTTAGAAGCTTCGGAGGCAAAAATGGAAGGGAACTGGGCCAGGCACAGTAGCTCACACCTGTAATCCCAGCACTTTGGGAGGCCAAGATGGGAGGATAGCTTGAGCCCAGGAGTTTGAGACCAGCCTGGGTAACACAACAAAACCCCAGCTCTGTAAAAAATAAATTAGCAATTTGCTGGGCATGGTGGCCTGTGCCTGTATTCCCAGCTACTCAGGAGGCTGAGGTGGGAGGATCACTTGAGCACAAGAATTCAAGGCTGTAATGAGCTGTGATCGCACCACTGCACTCCAGCCTGGGTGACAGAGCAAGACTCAGTCTCAAACAAAACAAAACAAAACAAAAACCAGAAAGGGAACTGTAGTGGCCTGTGGCCCTGGGAACCAGCCCTGCTGGGGAACTCTCACCTCTGTTAACAGGACCCAGGCTGCCTCCCCGTCCTGTCCTCCCTGAGAGATGGAGGAGATGCTGAAGGAAGAGAGGAGAGAGGAAGAGGCAGGACCCATCCCTGCCCTGATCTGATCTCCATCTCAGCAAGGCCATCAGCCCCAGAGCAAGAGGCATGTGCCAGTCATCCTGCTGAATCAGCCTGCCTGGCACTGGCCGTGGCACTGTGAGGCTCTCCCAGCTGAGCAGGGTCTGCCTGTGGCAGCAGAAGTTGAGCCAAGCAGCTGCATAGTGGGTGGAACTGGAAGCAGGCGTCTCCGCTTTCCTCCCCTCCTCCCCAACCCAACAAACAGGCTGGGGAGACAGCCCTGTAAGAAATGCATGTTGACATTTTTATTGATCAGAAAGGAGGTGACTGGTCACCCAGAACATTCTCAGAGCCAACACCAGGGCCCCTCGATGGCCCAGCAGCAACTCCAGAGCTTCCCACACCCAGGGTGGCCCTGACCCCCAGCCCTATCTCTGCAATGCCCACTCCCCTCCTACCCACAGCTCTTTCTCGGGGGATTCCCAAGCCCAGCTCACACCCCCGGCCCCTTCAGAGCCTCCTTCTCCTTCTTGACTCAGTGCAGCCTGGGGTATGATCCTGAGCAGAGGGTGCTCAGGTTAAAGCAGGAGCTTGCAGATGCGGTTCTGTAGAACCTTCCAGAAGGGGATTTTCAGGTTCCTGCTCACCCACTTTAACCATAGCAGTTCCAGGCTAGCTTTTGTTGGTTAAAAGAGTGACAGTAGTTGGCTCAGTGTGAGGTCTCCCCAGGGGCCACCAAAAACCTAGATGGGCAGAGGCTCTAGGGCCGACTGCCCTGCAGTGACCACACTGGCGGTGGGGGCTTTCTCCTGCCCGTGCCCTCCAGCCCAGCTGAACCAGACAGCCTGTGCCTGTCTCAGCGACCGCACTCAGAGCGATGAACCTCCCGTGGCAGCTGTCTTCCCTACTGTGGGAGGGAACACGGGCCTGCCACAGCGATGTATTCAGGGGTGAAACCCATGCTGTGTGCAGGGTCCCTGGGTTGCTGAGAGAGACTGGGCAAGCCTTCCCTTCCCCCTGCCTGCAGAATGAAGGGGAATAATTAAAGACTATTAAAGGAAATTAAACTCCACCTTCAGAGAGAACCTAATTTCCTCCCAACACACACACCCACTTCTAACATTCTGGGCCCCCACCCCTGCTACATCTGGAAGCGCCAGCTCCCTTCAAATCCAGAGTTCAAAATCCCAGCCCAGGAGCCATGGACACCTCTAGGCCCCCAAATCCATCATCACACACTCTGCCATCCTGACCTCGTCCCCTCCTGCCCCATCTTCCTTTGTGTGTCCTCAGGCCTCACATTGGCCTCTCAGCATTTCTGAGGAGGGAGAAGCCGGCTCCGGTAATTAAAGTCTTTCGAGAAAGGTAACAATCAGTCTTCTGAGGTTGGAGTCAGTTATTAAAATTTTGTTGTCTTTTTTTTTTTTCTATTGAAATCGGCCCTTGGACATTGGGTTTTTCTGTCCTTGTTTGTCCACACACAGCTGAAAGGTGCTGGATGGGGGTGGAGGTAAGTGTCACAGCCTTGGGCCCCCTTTGGGAGAAGAAATCTGGATGGGACAGAGGATGTTTCTGATCTCCTTTCCTAGCTTTCCAAGAGCAGAGGCAGCCTGGTGCCTGGCACACCAGACCCCAGGTCCTCCGGGCCCCATTCCTGGTGCAGACACGCAAAGTTACTGTCCTTGTTCCCCAGGGAGGCATCAGAATGAAGGGGGAGCAATTCAAAGTGGGGCCCATCTCCCTAGGCCACCCACAGCCATTCTCGAACATGCTAACATTGTGGGTCCGGAGCCTCTGGGGGCTGTGGGTGGGGAAGAGGCGAGGGAAGAATGATGTGCGTTCTTCTCGGGTTGGGTAGGCCGTTCCAGAGGCGAGGGTGGGTGGTATCCATCCCTGTGTCCTGGTGCCCACGGGGGCCAGGATGTTTGCAAAGTGCCAAGGCTCCCCCAAGAGAATGGAGGCCAGGTAGTTGTTCCTTGCCCTCACCCTGGCGGGGTTCCCCAGCAAGAGGGCAGAGAGGATGGCGGGTGGGGGCAGGCTCAGGGCACCATGTTCCACCATTTGAAGGGAAAGGGCTTCCTGCGCACGTTGGTGCCACAGTGGATCTCGCCCTGCAGCTCGTGGTAGGACAAGTAGTCATCAATGAAGATGCAGTGCAGGCCCAGAGGTTCCAGCAGGGACTGCACCTTCTCCTCGAGGCAGCAGCGGCCGTTGATGATGGGCCCGTAGGGCTTGGGGATGCCCAGATACTTGCCTAAGACCACCATGTTAACCTGCAAGAGAGAAAAGGCAAGAGGGAGGCTGTCTGGCTGCGAGCGCTGTGCTTCTAGCACCCCTTCCTTGCCGGAATAAGACAGACCCTGGGGAATGGGTTGGCCATCGCTAGAGCCCACAAAGGGCTCTAGGACTGGGGTTTGCTCAAGAGTTAGGGTCTATGAAAGCAGAGGAGAAAAAGATTCAGGGTTGGAAATGAGGTTGAATAACAGCCAGGGCTACCAGGAATTTTGTACATTAAAAAAAAAAAAAAAAAGAACCACTTCTCCAACACTTTCTTCCATCTATGAGAAAACTGTCATATTATAGCAACTTTGTTAGAACAAGAGATTTTCATGTCCTCTACCAGAAACTTGTACAACAAATATACACACCTACAAGGTCTGTGGTGTGAATGTCTTCCAAAGTGTGGTGTGCTTTTGCAGTGCACAGCTTGCTTAACTGTCTTTGGCAGCCCTGATCATTGTTAGCATTTATTGAGCATTTTCTATGTGCCAGATATATCATCACTAAATCTCACAGCCTGCCTCCGAAGCTGTGGCTCAGACAGGTTAAGTCACATAATCATACAGCCAGAGAATGATGAGACTGACATTTGGACTTGGATCTGACTGATGCCAAAACCCATGCTCTTTGTATCTGGCCACCTGTGGGACTGAGGAGTTGGGGGAAAGGGCTGAAAGCTTTTGGGGACACTTGAGTTTAACTCTGGGGGCACCTCTCCTTCCCTTGATTGTGGACCTGGCTTGGGGTCCTAATTCTGGGGATGGGCCAGAACATGCTGGGGTGGGAGTGGGGGTGGGGCATGCAGGGGGCAAAGGGCAGAAAGAGGAAAAAAGAGCCAGGACCAGGACCAGGAGAAGGGCCAGGGTCAGAGCCAGCCGGGCCTCTGCTTCCTCCTAAATGAGGAGTTATGGGATTGGGGGCTGGTCCCGACTCCGCCACTCGCTCACTGTGTGACCTCAGACACATGACCCACTCTCCGTCTAAGCCTCAGTTTCTCCATCTGACAAACCAAGGGGTTAACTGGGTGTTCCCTATGGGACCCTCCAGTGAAGACAAGCTGGGCTCCTTCAGCAGAGCCTGGAATGAAGCTAGGGAATCCCCACAGGATGGCCCACAGGCAGGGGGCTTCCAGCAGACAGAGGCCAGGCCACAGTCACACGCGCTCCAGCCTAGGCCCTCCCCCCACCTTCAGCCAGAACCAGAGCTTAGCAGTCCCGTAGAGCTCTGCTGTCCCCCACGGTAGCCACTGCCACATGCAGCTGTTTAAATTAAAATTAAACTTACATACAGTTACAATTTCCGTTCTTCATCGACACTAGCCACATTTCAAGTGGTAGCTGAGTGGCTACTGGACTGTATTGTGCAGATATGGAACATTTTCATCAGCACAGAATGTTCTAACAGACAATACTGCCCGACTTCAAGCAGTGGTTCTCAATCAGGGATGATTTTGTCCACTAAGGCATTTTCGGTTGTCACAACTAGGAGAGTGCTATTGGCATTTAGTGAGTAGAGACCAGGGAGGCCACTAAACATCCTGCGAGGCACAGTACAGCATCTACAACAAAGGCTTATCCAGCCTAAAACAGCAATAGAGCTACAGAGTCAAGAAATCCTGCTTGGGGGTCTCTGCCAGGACCTAGAGGCTGGAATCTCCCCAGGAGGAGTTAGGAAAGCACACGGATCCTCCCCACCTCCCACAACCTGCATCCTGATTCCAACATTCGCTTCCAACCCTCGGCTTGTCCCAAGAGAGGGATTCAAGCTAAAGACCGCAGTGTGAAGAAAGAGGGTCTATCCCCATCCTGGGGGACCATCCTTCCCAGGTGCCAACACCCCAACATCCTTTCCCAAGAGGTTAATGGGCACTTGGGCCAGGTCCACCCCGATAGCATCGCTCAGGCCTCTCCCAGGTGAGATCACATCTGCCCATCTCCTTGTCAGCTGCCCGGTTAATGAGAGTCAGTGAGGCCACCGCCCGCCCCTGCCTGCCTGCCTGCCTGACACAGGACCTCCACTGGGGAGCAGCAAGTGAGGGACTGTGGTGGGAACACAGCAGGCAGTTGAGACCCAGAGAGAGAAGCCTGAAACACTTGGAACCAAACCACGTATTCTTTTTCCGTCTGGGTGAGAAAAAAAAAAGTGCTTTGTGGCGGGGCATCCCATGCCCTGTAGGATGTTTAGTGAAATTCCTGGCTTCTATCCACCAGATGCCAGGGGCACGCACCTCCCTGTGGCAACAAAAAATCCCCTGGGGGCAAAATTGCCCCGGTTGAGAGTCACTGATGGGAATGTTCTCTATATTCACAAAAACAGACCCTGAAGAGGTCCACAGGGACCTCCAGCCTCTGCACCAGCTTGCCCTGGGCCAGGGAGTGCTTCTTCTGGGAGCCCCGCAGACCCCCCAGCAGGACCCTGCCCAAGGGCTCTCACCATGTCTGGGAAGAAGGCTTCTGCATAGAAGTTTTTCAGGAAGAAGAGCTGAGGAATATCCACGATGTCACTCTCTGCCAGGCCCAGTTCCCGCTTCAGTACATTACGGTTCCAGTCAATGCATTTCTGGGGAAGGAGGCATCTGGGCAGCCCGGGACCAGGAAGAACATAACACTGGCCAAGCACCTACTGTGTGCCAGGCCCGTGTGGAGCCCTCTGGGCCCGTTAGCTCCTTGAAGCCTCACAACAGCTTTGTGCCATAGAAGCCATTGCTGTCTGGGGGAAACTGAGGCTCAAGCAACCTGCTCAAGTGTACACAGCTAGGAAGTGCCAGAGCTGGGGTTCGAACCCACACAGTTTCTGGATGCAAATGTTCTTGTCAGTACAACACACTGTCTCAGCCCCAGCCACAGCGTGGCTGATGCTGCTGTCTCTTCTCAGCAGCTTAGGAGAAAGTGCTGGGCACCACCGGGGAGGGGTAAGGGGCCTCCTCCCATTAATTGAGCACCGACTCTGACTCTGCGCTAGTCCCTTCACCTTGCACAGGGCAGGCACTTTTTATCTTGGGGTGAGCCCTGCCCCTTCCTGACACCTTGCTTTACCTGTTCTCACAGAATCCCCCTGACTCTTACCCGCCCCACCTCTGGGCCCCGCAAGGTCCTATTTCCCCACCATGTCTCTCGTCTCGCATTTCACCAGACTTCTTGGATGAGAGGCTCAGGTTTGCCTCTGTGGAAATAGGTCATTGCCCCAGAGTGGGGCCAGGTCTCCCTCATTAGGCTGGGAGCTCCCTGAGGGCATGGCTCTGTCTCTTGGGTTCCTGAAGGCAAAGGCTGTATCCTACCCACAGGCCCCAGCAGCCCCCAGGACCATCAGAGCTCCAGCGCCGAATCCCTGACGCCCCCCCAGCAGTTCCAGGGGCTGCTTCTCCCTGGAAGGGAAAGGACCCCTTAGAGCAGCTGGTGGTCCTGCCCCTCACCTGTGCATGAAGATTGTCTCTCCGGAGGTGTCTGTCTGCCAGCATCTCATTAATGCTTTTTTTGGCCTGGTGTTTTAACCCTGCAAGAAGAGAAAGACAATGCATAGCTCAGGGAGCACTGCCTGGAGGCCCTCTTCGGCCTGGGGCTACGTAATCCAGGCCAGGATTTCCCTCCTACCTCAGTGCCAGGGTCAGAAGCCAGGATAGAGAAAGTCGGAGACTGAGAACCCTGATGGGACCAGACCCTGGCTACAAGGAAAACCTGGTGATGGATGAGGAACCTCTCAGGAAGTGACTCCGGACTCAGAGCCTAATAATTATGGCACAGGTACCATTATTGAATGTCTGCCATGCTCTGGACATCCCACTTAATGTATTATTAATATTTAAAGCAACTATAAGAGGGATTAATTATCACCTACAACTCAGAGAAGAGGAAACTGAGGCACTGAGCGGTTCAGAACACACCCTTGATACCAGAGCCAGCAAATGCCAAGACCAGGATTTAAACCCAGGACTATCCTTGTGGACAGCGGCACCACATCCATTCCAATGCTCTATTCCCCAGATGAGAACACTGAGGCTGTGACAAGGAGGGGAGGTGGGCCAACCAAGCCCTTGGAGGGTCTGTTAGCTCCTGCAAGAAGCTCTGCAGAGTGGCCCTGACCAAGCCTGGCTTCTCCTCCTTCCTCTCTCGAGCCCCCAGCCCTGCTGCTCCCTGGCTGCACAGCCCTGGCCAAGCCAGTTCTCCTCTCTGAGCCTCAGTTTCCACTTCTGTGAACAGGGATAAGGAAGAGGGAGGAGAGATCAGATGGGAGCGAGAACAAGAACGTGCCTGGCATTGACTGGCACCTGGGGCACTCATGGCTTCCT